CCTTCGCGCTCGGCCCCGGCGGCCCTCAGTGCCCCCGGCCCATGGCCCGGGCGCGGCGGCGACGGCGGCGGGACTCGCGTGGCGCCTGCGGCGGCTCGGCCCGGCTCTGCGCCCTGCACGCGCGTCCCTGTCCCCGGGCCCGGGAGCCGCTCCCTTTTAACTGGGGGAGGGGGCCATTGTTCTCGCCTCCCGCTTCCCCCGGAGCCAATCAGCGAGCCCGCAGCTCCTCCGCCCGGTCGGGTTGGGAGGGCGACGCGGCGGCCAAGAGGGGGCCGGGACTCGGGGGTCGCCCGGTAGGTGCGGCAGATGTACCTGAGGGCGCGGGGCCCCCGCGCGCGCCTCGCCGCCGCCCCGCCCGGCGCCACCGCCCCGCCCGGCCCAGGCACACGCCCGACCCCGCCTCCCTTCACGGTCGGCTGCTCCTCTATGGGGAGGCGCACGTGCCTGGGCTTTGTGTCTCTCCTCCCGGGGGCGCGGAGCCGCCAAATGGGCCCGTCCATCAGCACGACAATGCTCGCCCCCCACCCCCCGCGCTGGGATTACCCGCGGGTCGCGAGCAAAATAGCAACAAAGGAGAAGAATGGCCCCAAATATGTCAGGAGGGTTCAATCCGCGAGCCGAAGAGGAGGGGGAAGTTGTGCTCGCTGATTGGGTAGGGGCGGCGGTGGGCAGCAGCAGGCGCGGGGGAGATCTGAGTTAGGCGGCCGGGGGCGGGAGTGGGGTTGGGGGAGGCGCAGGAACTCCTCCTGGTGTTTGGGAAATAATCCGGAATCGAAAATAGCTGCAAAGGCCGGGCCGCCCAGAGCCCCGCCCGGGTCTCGGACTGATGGGCCGGGGGACCCATGGTCTAGACGAAAATGGGACCCTGGAGTTCCAAGTTTGGGTGGAGGGTCTGGCCTTCTGGCTGCAGCTGAGAGTGATGTTTGTGTCCGCAGCCGCCGCGCACTCTCGGGCCTCGGGAAGGTTTCTCTCGAGTTTGAGAAACAGTTGGCACCTCACTTCTTCAATCGGCCTCAGACGCAGCGCTGGATGGGGGAGGGGGCAGGCTGGGCTGTGTTCCAAAAACCTTGAATTTCTGAACAACTTCTTTTTGTTTTTTTTTTTTTAAGTTCCCGGAGGCTCCGGGATTGGCATCGTTGGAGGGGCCCGGTCTAGGCTGCACGGAGCCTCCGCGCCGCCCAGGGCCGGGTTGATTCGGGTGGACTTGGCCAAAGCCCGAAACGCGCGGCCAGCCGCGTGCGCCCCAGTGAAGTTGGTTTCCGCTCTCCTTGCACGGCCTCATGCATTTTCATTCCGAGCGGGCATTTTGTCTGTCGGTTGACATCAGATGCTAAATCAAGGGCTCCAATCAAGGCGCCTCGGAATAAAGGGGCCGCCTGTCTGGGCGCGGGGCCCCCAGGAGCCGTGCCCCCTTCACCTTTGTGAAGGAAATTAACCTCCCGCTACTGAGCGCCGGTCGCGGCCAATCTGGACTCAAAAGAGGCGCGTGCTGCCGGCCGGGGGGAGAGGGGGGCAATCTGTCCTCTGAGGCAGGTCTTGGCTGGGGGTGGGGGGGAGGGGAGAGAGCCTGGCCTTCATTTTTATCCCCCCCCCCCCCCCCCCCCCCCCGTGCCACCAGGAAAAGACAACAGTGAAAATCCACCCCCCAGCCCCGCCACCCCGATTGGACCCCAGACCGGGCCTTTTGCCTCCAACCTCTTCCCAGCCCTGCCCCAAGGAAACACAAAAGGCAGAATCTCCCGGGGATGGGGGCAGAACCCCAAGAGTGCGCAGTGGCCCTGAGCGCCCATCACTAGGGAACAAATTGCAAAACCACAGAAAATGTCATATGTTGTGAAGAAGATGTCACTTTACTGAAAGAGAAGGAAACGGACACTTTTCTGAAAAGCTCTGCGCACTCAGACTTTGCTGAGTTTTGCTTAAGTCTGATTCCACTGAAGGTATTTCATTGTTTTGGATTTTCCCTGTGAAAATACCCTGGCGTGGAAATGAAAGATTAAAAAAGAAAAAAAAAAGTCCACATGAGTAATAAGTTGTAATGGGGACAGTTGTTAGAATTAGTTAATCAAGGGCTTAATCAAGTTGACTAATCAAGGGAAAAACATTTGGTGATTTTATGTTTGTAATTTCTTTTTTAACTCACAGACTGAAACGAGAATACACATAATGGAATATATTTTGAAAACCCTCATCCTCGTTTTAAAAATGCTAACTACGATGAATGCTAGTCCTGAAAAAAGTTAGAAATTCTAAAACGAGTTTATCTAAAATTTATATATGTCTTTCAGTCTAAAAGTAACTGACGTTATTTCCTTGCTCTTTTGAGTGCTGATTGATACTGCTGATGAAATCAGAAGTGGGAAGGGGATTCCGGGACAGCTTTGGCCAATTTTATTTTCTAATCACGAATCCCATCTGGATTGTGGAATAATAGGGCGGGGGCTCAGCCCGCCATCCCCAACTGACGGCGGGGTATTTGGTCTTACATGTGTAACACTCCTTTCATTCAACAGATAACAGGCGGAGTTAGTCACCTTGTGAATCCTTTAAAAATAACAACACCCATAATTGTAAAGAGGGCGGGGGTGGGAGGCAAAAAACAAAACAAAACAAAACCCCCGCCTGAATGCAGCGAATTCAAATAGGGCTCTGAATTAAGCCAAGAGAATCTATTGAACACTATTGAAATACTGAGATTCAATGGATCCATTTCTTTTTCTTTGTGGTTTCTAGTCTGGCCAGCGAAAATGAAATCTGCTTTCAGACAGGTACCGTCAAAAACAAATGGAAACTTGAAAGGTCCGAGTATTAGAAACTAATTTCATAACCCAGGGCTGAGGAAGAATTAGGCTGCGCTCACGCACACACCGGCAACCTCCAAGGACGTGCACCCTTGCACCCGGCCGTGGGATTGCGTCTTCTGCGTGATTTTATTTCTCGGAACCTGCCCGCCCGCGGGCATTTGGACAGTGAGTCGAGATATTTTCCTTCCTCTTGGAAGAGAGCGAAGCGCTACCACGCTGCGCCGCGGCGGCAGGCCTTTGCGCATTGCGATTCCGGATAGGGGCCGCGTGGAGTTGGGCTGGGGAAACACTGAGCGCTGACTTGCCCCCTCCTGAGGAGTTTCACGGGAGGAGGCGAGCAGAGGGATCCCAGGCAGGGTCCCGAAGTGTCCTTCCCAGGCCCCAAGCGACTCCTCCCCTTCCTGTGGGGTCCTGGCCGGCGCTTGGGAAAAATCCACAGGCCTCTTCGCCCCTCGTCCTTGCGGACCCCGCGGTGGATCCTTCCTCTGACCGCTGCAGAGCTGGAGGCCGCGGCCGCTCTAAGCTCTCCTGTCCTGGAGTCCTAGGTTGCCGTCGGGGAACGCAGTGGGGTTCACTGTGACCCCCGGCTCCCGAGTTTAGCGCCAGGGAGTTGCTGGAAGCGCAAAGCTTGGAGACAAGCGCTAGAGCGAGGAATTTCGGCTCAGGAGTTGCCCTGTGGGATGTCGCCGGGACTAGGCAGCCCCTGAGCTCTAAAAGGAGAGGACAGGAGGGTCCTGAGTCTCACCCCGCGGCGCGCGGCGCGTTTGGAGACGCTCGGGAGGCGCGAGAGGGAGTGGTCAGCGCCCCCAGCGCCGTCCCGGGCCGGCTGCGGACGCCTCTGCCGGATTCGCAGAGGCCCTCCCGGCCCGCGAGCCACGGCCGGGCCTGGACCAAGCGTTCCAGGCGCAGAGCCCGCCGTCAGGTCCCGGACGGGCCCAGCTCCCCGTGCGCCGCGCGCGCCGGCCCGAGCCGGAGACGCTTTGTGTTTGCAGGAATGAGGGGCGGCCGTGTCTGGCCCCAGGGCACGCGAGAGCCACGCGCAGCCCGCTGCCTCCCCGCCCGTCCCGCTCAGGCCTCCAGGCACCTTCCGGGCCCCCGCCGGCGGGCCGTCGCCTTTGTTCGGCACATTAGCATAAAGCTGCCATGGATCTCCCGTTTAAATAATTCCACACAAAAGGAGAGCGCATGAAAGAGGGCAGACGACGGCGAATCCGCGAGGCTGCGCCGTCCGCCGGGCGCGGGGAGGGACCGCGCTCCAACAGTTCCCTCCCCTCGAGTTTCAAGTGCCCCCGGCAATCTGCCGCGCGCCCATTATTCGCCGGGGCCCACGGGGTGGCCGGCCGCCCCCTTTCATCCTCCCGAGTGTGCCGTCGGGCCTCCGCACGCTCCTTGAAGTGCCCTCGGGGCTGTTTGTTTTCGCCTCGGGTGGGACTGTCGCGGGCCGGGCAGGGGAGGCGGGCCGGACAGTCCCCGGGCCGGGCGACGGGAAGAGCGATGTTGGCCAAAGCGGGCGAAGGAGAAGCCAGGAAGTGTGGGAAAGTCCTAAGCAGAGGATGAGGCCACGAAGAGCTGGGAGGGCACCGAGCGGAGCGGGAGGGCCCCGAGCGTGGGGCGCGCAGGGGGCGGCTCCCACCTGTGAGGGGCGGCCCGGCTCCCCGCGCGCCCCAGTCTCAGGAAAGGCAGCGACGAAGCCCCAGCAAAACTGACCAGAAAGGCCACGGCGACTCCGAACGTCCCCAGTCCTCGCCAGCCCCGGGGGCCGGACAGAGAGGCGGCCAGGCGCCCGGGGGCTGGAGGGTCGCGCTGTCCGCCTGGGCCTCTGTCCCCCCCCC